TTTGGGTCAAGTATAGAAAGTAAGTGTCAAAGTATTTATTATTTCGCATCAAAGACCTCCATTGTGGCCAAGATTTTCACTCACCAATATGTAACATTGCGACCATTTGTTGCAGCCTAATATTTAAGACGCATTCCTCCAACAATAAAATTATCAGGATACGTTTATTAACTACTTACGGTAAAATACAATTAGTATTTTATTTAAAAGATATATGATGCAAAATATTGATTGTTTCATTTTCGGGAATTTGTTTTTGGTAAGAGAGCAGGGACACCAATTGTTAGAGGATAGGAGGAACAACTAGAGCAGGGACACCAATTGTTAGGGGACAGGAGGAACACCTAGAGCAGGGACACCAATTGTTAGAGGATAGGAGGAACACCTAGAGCAGGGACACCAACTGTTAGGGGATAGGAGGAACACCTAGAGCAGGGACACCAACTGTTAGAGGACAGGAGGAACACCTAGAGCAGGGACACCAATTGTTAGAGGATAGGAGGAACACCTAGAGCAGAGACACCAACTGTTAGGGGACAGGAGGAACACCTAGAGCAGGCGACTTTTTCTACAATTTGATAAAGTATAGTAACATGTTTAAATACAGTAATATTCATACTTAGTTTTGGATCTAACAAAATTAGTCCCACGATGAGACAACAGTAAGTTTACAAACTTACAACACTAAAATTCGGTAGACACATGGTAGACACAGCAGATAGCTCAGTGAGGCTTTGCTCTAAAACAAAACAAGTAATCTATCAAAAAAATTATTAAATCATTTTTGTCGTTTAATTATTCTACGTGTCAACAGATGGCAAAAGCGTCACGTAATCATAATAGCCAATTAAAACTCTTACGTATAACTGACGAACCATTCCAACAGTTTTCTGAAGACAGAATTCCCAACACCATGGAATGTGCAGTTCTTCTTATGTTATTTGTACAAACCATTTAAACATTTATTTTCACCTTATTTATACGTTAATTGAATGGAAACTAGAAATTATACCCACAGATGTCGCCACTATGCAATCTGTCTTCAAAAAAAATATTGGAAACGACAGGTAGCTTTGTTGCAACAAATTAACATAGTGCAGGGGGGGAAGGAGGTGGTCGAGGTGAACCTAACCCTGCCAGGTCATCTATCAATAGATCTTAGCGCCGATGAAGAAAAAAACAAACAATAACCCGTTATATCGTAGACAAAAACTATCTTTTACTCCGTCCGTAACGATGTTGAAAATAGAGGTTTATTTCCAAATTCAAGAAAAGTGAAACAACTGGATAAAATATACCAACTTATTACTGTGTTCCACAATGTAGTGGAAGAACAGCGAGAAAAGTAGGGCGAAGCTAAGAGCGATCGTAATTAAACAAGATTGGTCAGTACGTGTAACTAGAAACCAAGGATTCAGCATTAGGTGGTAGCCTAAGCCTATAACAATCGAATAGTCAGAATTTTGTAACTCAATTGTTTGTTTGTTGTTAAGCGCGAATTGGTATCGAAACCCAATGTTTAGCGTTATAACCCCTCAGACTTGGCGCTGCCCCGCCGCCGAAGGCTATTTGTAAAAGGAGATACGAAGTATGGGATCTTGTGCATGGGCGTCTGCAGAAATTTTTTCCAGGGATGGGCAAAGTCTTCCGGGGGGAGGGGGTAAAGTAGTGTGAAATTGTGAATTGAATAAAACATGGATATACATATGTTGAATGAATAAAGAAAGAATTACGTTTCTCATTTTCCAGGGGGAGCTACTGCTCAATCTTGCCCCCCCCCCTGCA